AATTCAGTGCATCGAGGGGTACCAGTGGCACGGGTACGGGCAGGGATACCCCACTCGCTTTGAGCATACAGTACTGCTGCTCGCCACATCTGCCGTACGCAGTGTCTGCGGTGATGACCCCACTAGGCGCCCCCCGGTAATCACCCTCGTGATAGCGTGCATGCTACGGCGGAGCGCATCTGTAGTTTCATTTCACAGTTTCACTCGCGCGATGCCACATCACTGCGGCCCCTGGCCCGTGACTCATCTGCACCTTCCCGCCTCGACCGGCCACCAACAGGTACAGGCTGTTGTGGCTGTTGCGGCTCACCCTGGCCAGGATCTCCTCTGCACACGCACAAGCACGCACTGTGCACCTGCAACATTAGCCGCTTTTTTTACTGTAACCCGAGGTGAAGCCTCTTCTGCCGCTCCGATCGACTCGCCCTTATGCTCTGGTGATTTGTGACACGGATCCGGGTACTGGCAGGGATACACCAGCCGCGCCCGGCCCGCAAAGCTCGCGAAGCACGCGGCCCAGAACTGTGAAGTGCGACCTGCGAAACACAATGCCAAGGTCCCCACCCACTGTATGCAAACAAGTCAAGCTTGGCGACTTCACACTGCGACACTGCTGCGGGTGTGCGGGTCTCTCATGCGGGTGTGTGCAAGCTGCGTACACACCATTTCCTTGATTCATACACTATCCAAGCGGCTGCATCATCAGATCCACAAGAACCGTGGAATGGCGCTTGCGCGCTTCCCACGCTTCTGCAGCATATCAATGTCCTTCTGATACCGATCATCGGCTTCCAAACTGTGAACGAAAAGTCTTTAACATATGTTACGAGCACAGCTTCACCACGCGGTTCGATCACCTGATCTGTTCACCAAGGTGGCATTTTGCCCCTGTAATTGTTTCATATAGTGATAGGACTCAGTAGGCTTGTGAAAAAGCAAAGGCGTGCGGCGTCATGGTGGTGGTGCCCAGTGGTGGAGCGGCCGACGCAGTCGCACAGCCAGCGCCACCGGAGGCGATTGCAGCTGTGCCAGCGGCGCCGGGAACGCGCCTGTTCTTCACATGGGGGGCTGGCACCCAGATACAACTCTGCGAGCTGCAGGGACAGGGCGCAGCCACCAGCCAGGGCGCCAGTGCCTCCACTGTGGCCTGGTGAGTTCTGCTGGCGTGTGCGTGAAGCCGGCTCTGCAACAGGGTGGTACTGCAAAGAGACTAGCGCAGCGGCCGCCAGGCACAAAGCAACACTGCTCCGGGGTTCTGCGTAGCTCTCGCACATGCTGGAGGTGCGCGAGGTCAACGGAGCGTATGCGCAGCACAAGGGCTGGCTCGCCATGGCAGGGATGCACCAACTGTGGACGTTGGTTTTTGAAGCATCGACTGCAGCGCCCATGGCAACGGCTCATAGTAGCTCAACCCGCGTGCGCGCTCCTCCACTCATCCGCCCCAGGAGCGCGCCCACCATGGAGCAGCGGCGCATAGCGTATGACGTACTGCCCCTGTACTGCCAGCTGCGGCAGGCGCTGCTGCAGGGTGCGGCGCGGCCGGCGTGGCAGCGGGCGCGTCGGGGAGGTTTTTTTGGGGGGGGGGGTCGCGGAGAGCCCCACCCGCGACGAGAGCCGCGGCGTATTTAGGAATCCGCTGCTGCTTGCCACCGCAGCAACAGAGCCGAGCCGGCCCATCAGCGGCACGGTCCGCGTCGCGCCCGCGCTCCCGTGCTTGCGCAGAGGACCTGGCCCCGCCGGCGCGCCTGGCGGTGCTGCGGTCTTACGCGCGCGGCGTCAGGCAGATCCTGATGTCAGGCGGCAGGTGAGGGCGCGCGCCCCCGCGGCGGCCTGTGCGCCGGGGCCGGGGGGGGGGGGAGGGGGCAGACGGCCCTCCGTCAAGCCCGGCTTGGCTGCAGCACAGCCACATCCGGATCACCGGCGGGCCCAAGCTGCCCAGGGAAGCTGCTCAGCAAAGTTGCCACGGTCAGCGTCAAACATCACTGCCGGTCGGCCACTCGGCGGTCTCCGGCATGACAGCTGACGTCGCCCGTGCCGCACGCGCCGCGACTGCTGTCATGCGCGTGCGGCACGCGCGCGCCCCCGCCCCCAGTGACGACCCTGAGGAGGCGTCGACGGCGCCGTACGAGGCGGCGGTGTGGCACCTGCTGGAGCTGTTTTTCCTGGAGCCTGAGAGCACAGAGGGCTTCTTTGCAGAGGTGTGTGTGTGCGTGCATGTGCACGCTTTGATGGGTGTGCGCGTGTCTATGTGTGTGTATGTGTGTGTGTGTGTGCACGCAAGGCATGCACCTGAGGCATCCATCAAGTGTTTGTTTGTTCTGGGTGGGTGCTCTTGCATTGAGCACACGGCAGACGGCCGGGCACAAGGGGGCCGCAGGCCTGGCGGTGCGGGATGCTGTTTGTTTGCGTTGCAGGCAGGGGTCCCAGGGCGTCTGGAGCATTTATGGGGGCCCAGCCGCCCTCGTGCACGCCAGGGCACGCCGCCAGCCACATGTCGAGCCGCCTACGGCAGCTCGCGCCCCGCGCTCACCCCGTCGCGTCCGGCCCCCCGGCCCCGGCCCCGGCCCCGCGCGCAGCTGTTCGCCCGGTGGCTGCGGCTGCACGGGTCGCTGCTGGTCGGCCCGGCGAGCCCCACCCTCACAGAGCGCGTCGAGGCGCTGCAGGCGGCACCCAGGTGTGCAGGCGAAAGCGTGGCCGTCGACCGTCGACAGCACGCGCGCTCCGCCGCCTGCCGCAGGACGGCGCGGCACGGCGGGTTGCATGCAGTTGGGCTGCCTGGGTCTAAGTCAGAGCGCCATGGCCAAAGTCGCGTCACAGTCCGACGCCACCATGCCTTTCGCCACCTGATCCCGTCGGGGGTAGCGCTCAAACAGCTCGAGAAGCTCCTCCAGAAGCTGCCTCCCGCGCTCATGCGCTGCCACGCCCGCCGCGGCGCGTGCGCCCACCCCGCACCCCCTCCCGCAGGGTCGAGGCGGAGCCCTCGTACTGGCCGACGCTGCAGCGCCTGCTGGCGGTGGGGCAGCTGGAGGCGGTGGGGGAACTGCTGCTGGCGCACCCTGCCTACGCTGACTCAGACGCCGGCGGCCTGCAGGTGAGGCCGTTAACGCCAGCGTCGTACGCATCACGTCAGAACCAATGACCAAGCATGACATCACCTGGTGTATCACATGGAAGCGGTTTTTTTACTGCTCCGTGCTCGCACACCTGCGAGCGTACCCGCCCGATGCGCACGTGTTGCCCCGGCTGCACCCCGCCACCGCCGCCCGCCGCGCCACCGCTCCCCGCGCGCCCCTTATCTCTGCGGCACCAGCCAACCCCGTGCATCGGCGTTCCCCACCCGAGCCATGCAACCCCGCCGCACCCGGGCCCTCCTGGCCTCTTCCCTCACATTTCCCAAAACAATCCGTCCCTCACTCGCACCAACAGCGAGACCTGCTGGATCGAGTCTTCCACCTTCTGCGCACCACGCCCCGCCTCCGGCGCCCCGCGGCCGCCGCCGCGGCCGCCGGCGCGGCGCCGCCGTCGCCGCTGGACGGGCCCTCTGACCTGGAGTTGCTCGGCCTGCCCACAGACGACGCGCTGGCGTTCCGGTCCGCGCGCGGCGCGTGGGGGCGGCGCGTGCGGCAGCTGGCGGCGGAGGGGGGCGGGCTGTGGGAGGACGCGGCGGCGGTCGACCCTGAGGGCGCAAGGGGTGAGCTGCGTGTGTGTGCGTGCGTGTGTGTGTGTGAGTGTGTGTGTGAGAGAGAGTGTGAGAGAGTGTGTGTGTGTGCGTGTGTACGTGTGTGTACACATGTGCGTGTGTGCGTGCGTGTACGTGTGAGTGTGTGCACGTGTGTGTGTGTGTGTGTGTGTGTGTGTGTGTGCGTGCGTGTGCGCGTGTGTGTGTGTGTGTCGAGTTGGCGCGGGCGTTCTGCTACCTGCTGGCTTGGAGGTGGTCTGCCTGCGTGCCTTGTTGGGTGATTACGGGGCTGCTCTGATCCCGCGTCCGAGCTGCATCGCACTTCGAATGCGGCTTGATCGGTGCGCTTGTCGGCATGCGTTTGTGGCGTCCCGACATCCAATTAAGCAACGTACGCGGCGGTCGGCGCCCCGCGTCCCTGCCACACCAGACGCCTCGCCCCTCGCCTCTTCGCGCCGCGCGCAGGGCTACGCGCGCTGCTGTCGATCCTCAACGGCGACGAGCGCGCGCTGCGCGACGCGGCCGCCAACTGGGCGGAGCTCCTCTCGGCGCTGCTGTTCTGGCGCTACACCGACGCCAACCCGCAGCTGCACCTCGAGCAGCTGCTGGGCAGCGCCGCGGACCAGGTGGCGGCGGCGGCGGCGGGCGGCGCGGCGGACGCGGAGGACCAGAATGAGGGCTTCTTGGAGTTTCTGAGGGAGGTGAGGCGCACTCCCCCAAACCCCTAAACCCTGGATCCTAAACCCTCGCTGAAAACCTTGACCCCTTGTTGATCGACTGCCATCCACGACAATGTGGGGCCCTGTGGGAGGGCGAACCGCGAGGCTGCCCTTCTGTCGAGGGCGCATGACCCCTCTAGTAGTTGTTGTCAGCCGCATTGCAGCGGCGATGACGGCGGCGGCGCCCGGTGCTCCTCGGCTGCCGGCCCTCTTCACACTGTGTGCATCCCGCACCCATCAGGGACCAACATGCGCCGACATCTCCCTATGTGCGCCTGCCCAGCACACCTCGTCTCCCTCCCTCGCCCCCGCCTCGCCCCCAAAACGCCAGCTGCTGCTGCTGGCGTCGCAGCTGGAAGTGCAAGGGGTGGTGCGGCTGACCACCAACTCGCCCTACTGCGGCCTGTGGTTCGTCGCCCACGCATACGACGTGCTGCGGGGGTACCCCAGGGCCGAGGCGCTCTTCAGCCGCACGCTGCCCCACCTCGGCTGTGACCAGGTGCGCTAGGGCCCAGCTGCTGCGCGCCACACGTGCTGGATTCGCCGGGCCGCCTCGTCCTCAGTCGGCAGCCGGCAGGGGTCCGGAGCAGTGGTGGGAGGCGCTGGATTCTCGCTGTTGACGAGGCGAGAGCGTTCTGCGGCTTCTACGTGGCGAGCTGATCGCATCACTAAAAGATCGCTGGGAGTGTCGCGCGAAGCAGCCGTCAGTTGCTGGCGACAAACTCAATCAAGCATGTGCTTGCAGACGTGCATATTCCGTGTGCGCGCCCGCGCACGCATACACACACACTTACACATACACACACACATCACATCACACACACTCCACACACACACACACACGTATGTTACACACACATATATTACACACACATCATATCACATCACACACACCACGCAGGCCGAGATGTACACGCTGCACTATGTCGAGACCCTCACGGCCTCTGACGGCACCTGGCAGGTGGGCAGATGCTGGACTGCTGCTTTGCGTGCTCACGGCCGTCGTAGTGCCGCGCGCAGGGGCCCTGATTGAGCATTTGATGTGTCGCACGCGATGCGGTCACCTGAGTTTCATGCTTTGACACGCTGCTGGTTTGGGTGATGTAAATCAAGCTGTGCAAAAAGCACACACATACGTGTCCACAGCATCTGCAGACCACAACGCCCGCTGCGGACACACACACACACACACACACACACACACACACACGTGTGCGCGCACGCTTGCACGATTGCCAATACCGCGCAGGTCGCGGCTGAGTACCTTGCGTGGTGTCCTGTGTACGGCGCCGACGCGACCGAAGCGCTGCTGGCGCGCCTGCCGGTGAGGGCGACCGTGCCAGAGCGCGTGCAAGCTGCGCGGGCAGTTTGGCGAGGCGCGGCTGCGCTGCGTGCCGGGAGAGCATTATGCTGGGCTGTGCTGGGGCGCCGCCCCGACAGCGCCTCCGTTTGTGGCGCCTGGTGCCGCGGCCCCGGGCGCCTCCTTGAAGATTGGGTGCTTTCAGGACCCAAACACCTGCACTGATCCTGGAGCCGCCACCCTGCGTCCGCCCCCTCGCCCGCACCGCGACCGCGCGCGCGTCCACCCCTTGCTGTCCTGCTGCCCCCGCCGCCCCCTGCCACCCTCAAACCCGACACTGATCTCATAAATTTTTATTTTCGGCGCAATCAAACATGCAGTTCTCCATTGATGACGAGGCGGCGGCCCTGAAGGCCCTCGCCCTGTGCGACCGCCACGGCCTCTCCGCCGCCGCGCGCGCGCTCTGCGGCCGCCTCGCCGCGCGCGCGGCCGAGGCCGGCCTGCCCGGCGCGGCGCTGCGGTGGGCGCTGCGCGGCGGGGACGGCGCGCGGGGCGCGGCGCTGGTGGCGCCGGTGGTCGCTAAGCTGCGGGAGCAGCTCGAGGAGCGGGTGGGTGGCAAGATTTCAACCAGTGCCCCAGCAGTTTGCTAGTTTTCGTATCTGACTCTCTCTGATTCTCAGCCCGTTCGGCCGCGATCATGCTTCCATGACATCGCCCTTGGGGTTGTTTTGGCCCTCGCATTGCACGGCCCCATCCTCCGCAGCGTCCGGGTCGCTTTGCTGCATAGGCTAGGGCGGGGCCCCGGGCTGCGGCACCACCTCATCCTCCTTGCCCGCCGCGAGCGAGGCCCTAACCGCCCCAACCGCCCCAACCGACGCAGTCCGGCGGCCCCGACGCGGCGCCCCTGGACCTTCCGGAGCTTGATGAGCTGGCGCCGCTCCTGGACTGCCTCCCGCCGCTGGCTGGTTACGACGCGTCTTTGGCTGCAGCAGATGACAAAGGCGGCGGCGGCGCTTCCGCGGGGGAGTTGCTGGCGTCGGGCGCAACGCCCTCGGCCGCCGCGGCCGCGGCCGCAGCACGCCGGCGGCGGGCGCGGCACCAGCTGGCCAGCGGGCCGGCGGTCGCGCACGCTGAGCTGCAGCTGCTGCGCGGCTGCCTGCGGCTGCAGGGCGCGCTGCGGGCGCTCGCGGCCGCGCAGGCGGCGCAGGCCGCAGCCGCGGGCGAGCGGCACAAGCAGCAGCGGCGGCGGCTCGAGGGCGGCGCCGCTCCTGCCACAGCAGCGCTGCGTGCGGCGTATCAAGCCGCTCGGGCGCCTGTGATGGACCTGCTGGGTCTTCCGCTCGCGCCGCCCCCGCTGCGCCTGCCGCTGCTGCGGCACGCGGCGCCGCTGCTGGAGAGCGCGCACGCGCCGTTCTCGCGGCGCGACGTGCAGCGGCTGCTGCAGGTGCTGGGAGCGTCGCTCGCCGCGCGGGACGCGGCGCGGTGCGAGGGGGTCCCCGCCGACAGCGGCGAGGGCGGCGGGTTTGCCGGAGATGCTTGGGCAGAGGGCGGCGGCGGCGGCAGTGGGCAGGGCGGGGTCGGGGACGTGCGGCTGGCGCTGGCACGGGCGCTTGCGCGGGCGCACGTGCGGGAAGCTTCTGCGGAGGCGTGACGCGGGCGGCCCTGAGTGCGGCGCGCCTCTGGGGCGCTCTTCTGGTGTTCCGCCGGGCGAGCCTGAACGCGTAATCACTTTTGTGCAATGCTGTCAAGAAGCTTTTGATGTGGTTTCTTGTACATCAGCCTGTAAGCCCGCCTTCAGCCGGATTTTGGCCAGGCTGCCAGCCCTCAAAGCTTACAGCTGCTGCTGTGATCTTGAGAGGCCATAATGTCACATTCAGATCATGAGCGCATCACAAACCAAATCATGGGAGTCGGGACGCAAGGCCTGCACATCACCACACACCCAACCAGCAACCGAGGCGACGGCCGCGGCCCGGCCCCGCGCGTGCATCCTGCACAAAAGTGCGCCGGCCAGCGCTAAACAGCAACAATGGCAGCGGCCGCGAGCGGCGGGGCCGCGGCGGCGTGATCGCGCCGCGGCCCCGCCCGCGGCGCACGCTGCGTGGCCCCCAGAAGCTTCCCAGCGGAGGCCCCAGAAAATCACTTCTCCTCAGCTGCGGCCGGCTGCGGCTCGGCGGCCTCGAGCGGCGGCAGGTCGTCGTCATCGTCGTCCTCGTCGCTGTCCCCCTCGCCGCCGGGCCCCCCCGCGGCGCCGCCCATGCTGGCCATGAGCTTCTCCATATCCATCCCCGGCGGCAGGCCGCCCATGCCGCCCATGCCGCCCCCCCCAAGCCCGCCGCCGCCCATGCCGCCGAGCATAGACGCAAAGTCCATGCCGCCTGGGGGCCCGCCCATGCCGCCGCCCATGCCGCCCATGCCGCTCATGCCGCTCATGTCTATGTCGTCCGCCGCATCGTCGTCCGAGTCGACCCACTTGTCCCAGTCGACCTGCCCGGCGGAAGGGCGATTGCAGGGCGGCGGGGGTGCGCGGGCCTGCAAGGCGCTCCCGTTGAGGGGGGAGGGGCGGCCGGGACCCCAGGGCTCTGCCAGCGCTGATTGTCAGCTACAGCCCTGCGAACGCGCCCAGTAGCCCCGCCCCTCGCCCGCCTGCATCCCACTCCGATGCCCAACGCTTCACGGCGCCCCGGGTCGGCGCGACGAGAGGCATGGGCGGGACGGGAGGCATGTACTCTCCCGGCCATAACGCGGCACGTCGCATGCTGGCCGCACGCAGGAACGGCACGGGGCCGAGCCCGGGCGGCGTCAGCATCCACCGCTCTCCTGCAATCCGCAGGCCCACCTTGATGTGCTTGTCCCCCTTGGACGACTCCTTAGTCAGCCTCGGCCAGCTGCCCTCCTCGTTCTTCTCTAGCACAAGGAATATGTGGCGCGGCAGAGTGTTGAACTTGGACTGCTCCTTATCCACGCCAGCAAAAAGTTGGAGGTCCAGGGAGTATTCGGTGCCGGAATCGGACGCGGTGCCAGAGAACGTGAGCCGTGACTGCTTGCCGTCGTCCTCGCTGGTGATCTCCAGCTTGGGCTCTGCGGAACGGCGGCGGGCGTGCGGCGGGAGGGGGGGCTTTTGTTATGGCCACCGGGCACTCCCGGGTGGTGAGAAGGGCGCGGTGGCGTGCAGGAGAGGGGGGGCGGCGGAGCGGCGCCATGCAGCGCTGTGCAGCGCAGCTTCCGGACAGGCTCGTAGCTGGCGGTGCAGCGCGAGCAGTATAATCTGCTGCTTGATCCTAGCTAAAAGCGACTCGTGCCGCGCCTAAACAGGTTCCAGATCCCAGCGCCCGCGCACCCTTCACATCCTGCACGTCTATCGTGAGGTAGACGCAGTGAGGCCGCTGCGCCCAGAGAACGTTCGGTGTTTTCGCCATGGCGCTGCCTGCTGAGACCAGGACCGCTTTCGGGATCGTTCTGGAAGTCCTGATCTGGAGCGCGTGCGGTCGAGTGACGTTTGCTCACGTTGGGTACTCCTACAATCCACGCATAATAGTTTGCTCCGCAACAGCCTGTGCTGCTGCTTTGATCGCCCGCCAACGTGAGCCGCCGCACAGCTGCCGTGCTGGGGTCGGGAAGCTTCCCAACTTCCAAGCCTGGACCACCGCCACAGCTTTGTCAGCGCTGGTGAGGCTGTTGCCCTTGAACGCTGTCCTCAACCTGAGTGCCAGTCGGATAGCAGCCGCCGACATGTAGGTGAGGGGTTCATTCAACGTAATGCGGCGCTTACAGATGCCGGTTTGCCGCCAGCGCATGACGACTTGGACCGGGTGCCTGTTGCTGAAACAGCAGCAGGCCGCGTCTCACGCGCGCCGGTGCCGCGAGCAGCTGTGGCTAGAGCAAGATGGAGCCGTCATTACCGCAAAAACGACGCGCCCGGCCCGGAGGCGGCTGTGATCGGATAGGCGTGCGTCGCGCGCACGGCCGTGAGCCCGCGGGTGCTTGGTTAACCAGGGAGTTTTGTTCGCCAGGCCGACGGCATCGCTGCAACCGCGGCCTTGGCACGCAGCGCAGCCCGACGGCCGCGCCCGGACGGGCCGCGATCCGAGACGACGCGCGCAGCGCCGCACTGCCCGCCGTCGCGGGGCGAGGTTGCAGTTGCGAACCCATAATCAAGCGCCGCGGTGGCAGGGCTGAGGGGTGCGCGACAGGGGCGGCGGGGTCCAAGGGTTCGCAACAGAACAAAACACAGTGCAGGTCGCTGCAAAGGGCCGGGGCCTGCTGCCGCAAGGCACGGGGGCTGGCCGGCTGGCAGGCTGGGGGGCGGGGTGAGGGTTGCGCAACCGCACCTCGGACTGTGAGGATCAGCGCAGTCGATACGCGCGGGAGAAGGGGGGGGGGGCGCCGGCAGGGGTTGCGTGCATGGTGTCCGGCCGCTACACCGCGCGCCGCCGCAGCAGGTCACGCCACCAAAATCGACCCTTGAAGTGGGGTTTCCGACGAATAGCCACGAGACGAGTGCAGAGCGGTGTGGAGGGAGGGGGGAAAAGGGGGAACCCCTGCGCGGCCCGACGGGGGTGACGGATGCCGCTCGGTGGCTGGCCTCGCCGCGCCGTAGCGCTCGGCGACGGGCTGGCTAACCTGCAGCCTGTGCTCCCTCTCCGCAGCTTCGGTGCCGCGGGCGGTGTGGGGAAAGGGCGAGCAGCGGCGGAGGGCACAATCCAGCACCCAGGGGCCCCCCGAATCAAACAGGGCGCAAGCAAGCGCATGGAGGGGCGCCTGCGCACGCGCGCGCGGAAAGCCGTGTGGCAGAGGGGGGCGCGCCGCACGCGCGGCGAGGCGGGGTTGAGTGAGGGCTCGAGGGAGCGGGAGGAGGGGTCAGGTGTCCGTTCCATGGTTCCAGGTGTTGTAGGTATTGTGTAAATGTATATGCACGAGATGGCTGACGGCGGTGCGCAGCCGCTTTGTTGGTGTCCCTTGTCAGTCCTGCCCCCCCCCCTATTCCATAGCGCAGCCGCGGCCCCAAAATCGGCCGCGCCGGCGGCCCGCCCGGCGGCCCGCAGGGGTCCCAGGCGGCCGCCCCGGCGTGCCTCGCGCCGCCTGGCCGCCGGCCCCGGCTGGGACCCGTCGCGGCGCCGCCGTCGCGGCTCCAGATCACATCACATCACATCACGGAGCAGCCGCAGTCCGAGGTTGGGTTGTAGTTGCCCCGCGGCCGCAGAACGTCGAGGATCTCGGGGACCCCCGCCTTGCGCATCTCGTGGACCCGCTGCAGTATCGAATAGAATGAGGGCCGCTTTGCGGGGTCCTGGTTTCATCAAAATGAGGGCCGAGGTGATGAAAGCGGTGTGAGGGCATGGGGGCGAGGGCGTGGGCAAGAGATGGGGGAGCGGGGCCGGCCGCCTCGCGGGCCCCGGCGCGCCGACGGGGCCGCGGGCGGCGGCCGCGTCGGGCCGGAGCGAGGGGCTGCGG